GGAATTGCATAAAGAAGTGTTTTAGGAATCTTGGGAGAGAGGGGGAGGGAGCAACCCACCCCCCTCTACCAGCATCTGCTCCCAGACAAACATTTGTCTTCCACATACAATATGCTCCTACACTTATTTGTTTTTATTTTTATCTTTATAGTACTGTACAGTATACAGTTTTCTCTGTATTCATAAGACAAATTCTGTGGTTACTTACATATAACACTTTACAGTAAATAACAATCATCTCGGTGACAACAGTTGTTGACAACCAGACTTAAGTCTGATTTTCAACCCAGAGAGTTCTGTTTCATATTTTTTTATTGTTAATGTAATGTTCTTTTAATACCCTTGTTATACACTTAAACCTTAGTTGATGAAGTGGAGTAATAACACAACAACAACTGATTTTTATAAACAGTTCAGATGAGCAGTATTATCTCCAAACCCCCCGCCCGCCCATACATTTGTTTTTTTTGGACTTTCATATTTTGGGGGGACTGGGGTCTGCCCTAATTAGTCCGATTTATCGAGGTTCTACTTTTAATATAAAACTATAAAAAAAGACAAATGAAGAGTATGGGTATGTAGTCTGTGTGTGGGAAGTGAACATATGCATGGATTTGTGGATGCTGTGGGCTGTAACTGCGCCTCCGACTCGCAAGTCGCCACTTGGTCCACACCCCCTCTCCTTGGTGTGGCGTCACTGCACACTCACTGGTTGACTGCCCAACTGAACTGTGTTGCATCTCCCTGATGATGGTTTGAGTGTGGAAGGAGCTAATTTTTTTTTACATAAAATATTACTGTATTGTACTGTATGTGCTATTGTATTCTATGGCATGCTGTGTATCACTTTTATTGTTTTATAATAACATGACATTAGAGCCCGACACCTTTCAACAACCAAAAAGCCCTGCATGCTTGTGCGATTGCAGCACCACCAAAAGGGACAAAAGTTTGGATAAGTTGAAGATTTGGTTAGTTGAAATTCGGATAAAAACTGACAGTGGCCTAAAGTAACTGACTCTGGCTGGAACTTGATATATGGGGTTTTGGTGCATCCCGAGTACAGTACAGTAAGTCCTCGCTTAACAGTGTCCCAGTTAACGTGGTTTCGTTATTACGTCAATACTATTTCTATACCAAGCCCCCACACAGTGTGTGTAAAATCATTACATTCCTGGTTAGATGCTGCTGCTCTGCTCAACACTTTCCCTAGCCCTGTATATAACGTCATCACGGAGTATCAATCTCACTCACGTCTTTGCCAAGTGTGGATGCTGTTGTGTGTTCTGAGTGTCGCGTGTTCACCTTGTTTACGTTGTTTTGCTCTACTTTACCCATTGAAATGGCTTCTAAATTATCAACAAGTTATATTGTTAGTAGTGCTGGTTGCAAGAAGCAATGTAGAAGCATCTGTCGTGTAGTAAAGATGGATGTTTTATATCACTTTGAAGCCAATGAACTTGCTGTCGATATAGGGGTAGCATTAGGTTTACCCGCTATCACGTTGTTTACTATTCATAGCAGTGCTGGCAAAATTATGACCAGTATTGGAAGTGATTCTTTTTTTAGTGCTACTAAGACAAGTCGCACTCATAGTGGAATGATGGAGAAAATGGAAAAGATGCTCGCAATGTAGTCAGTAATTCCCGTCACCCTCCCTCCTTTGGCCATCAGTGAGTACAATATATCATACTAAATGCTAATTAAACATTATTGTTATTTATATCTATGTGTATTTATAGTGCATAATATACATGTATTTACAATCTGTTTACATTGTCTTAATTGGGATGCATGTTATAGGAATGAAGGGAGGTTGGGAATATAACCTACCATATTTTATGGCATATGACGCACCTGAACCCCCATTTCAGCAGGGAGTATTTAGGAAAAAACTTTTGTGTATTTTCCTCCTGCAGCCATAGTTTTCTTAAAATAATATATACAGTTCCAGTAAATGTGAGGAAGAAATAAAAATAATACCAATAAATAAGTTACAACAAAAAATACTGTATTGCTAAACCAATAATTAAAAACCAAATTAAAGATTAACACAGTCGCCAATTGCATACACTCTCTGCTTCTCCATAGTAGTGCAGACCACCAGGGATACTACCTCTGCCTACTCCCTGGCAACACTCCCCCTTCACACACTGCTCTCTCCTCCCGCTCCCCCACTGAGCCAGCTATCTTGTTTGCAAAGAATTGTATATTCCTTTTATGTGTGTGTATGTAATTGAGTAAAAATAAATGAAGAAAGTTACGATTTGTACCTGAAAATATGAGTTGATAAAACCATAACACCTCACAGCTTGGCCCAGTAACCTGGTGGTTGTAGTGATGAGTCTAACTTGGCTACAATGCCACCAGCATTGTTAACGGATGTAAATGTGAAAAGAAAGTTACTGTACAGTTGTACCCCGCTTTACGCGATTTCTTATATACGCGGTGCCTCGCCAGAACCGAACTTTCACTTTACGCGATTCATCTACCCATATACGCTTGAAGTATAATTTTTTTTTTTTTTTTAGCTTATAAAATTCATACAAATTACCCGGCCAGAATATAATTTACATTGCTGGAATTCTTACAATTTGATGATCATTTTGAATATAAACATCATAGATTTTGCATTAGACATACAAATTTTAGATGTAATGTTTACTCTGAGTAAATATGTTATCTTTTGTGCAAAATATATGACATTTATATTCAAAATATTCCTGGTCTTACAAGGAATCCAGCAATGTCAATTATATTATCCTAACTTTAGTCTGAGGTATTATTTATTACTAAAAAGGTAAATATTCTGGTTTTCCCACACATTTATCTGGTAGGGAGGGTTGGTGAGGGGTGGGGGGGAGGGAGGGACCGACCGACCATCTGGCACGGTGTGAAGGATATTTTTTTTTTATTAACTGAAGATATTTGTTTTAGCTCATAAAATTCATACAAATTACCCGGCCAGAATATAATTTACATTGCTGGAATTCTTACAATTTGATGATCATTTTCAATATAATCATCATAGATTTTGCATTAGACATACAAATTTTAGATATAATGTTTATTCTGAGTAAATATGTTATCTTTTGTGCAAAATATATGACATTTATATTCAAAATGTTCCTGGTCTTACAAGGAATCCAGCAATGTCAATTATATTATCCTAACTTTAGTCTGAGGTATTATTTGTTACTAAAAGTTATAATTAGTTTTTTCACCCAACATTTCTCTGGTAGGGAGGGAAGGTTGGGACCGACCGATCATCTGGCACGGTTGGAAGAGGGGGGGAGGCAAGTTGGGGTACTTTGATTGACAGATAGTGTCGTGAAGAATATTTTTTTTTTATTAACTGAAGATATTTGTTTTAGCTCATAAAATTCATACAAATTACTGGACCAGAATATAATTTACATTGCTGGAATTCTTACAATATGTTGATCATTTTGAATAAAAACATCATGGATTTTGCATTAGACATACAAATTTTAGATCTAATGTAATAATTTGGTTTACACAAAGCAAGTATTTCATCTTTTGTGCAAAATATATGAAGTTTACATTCAAAATATTCCCTGGCCTGCAAGGAATCCAGAAATGTCAATTATATTATCCTAACTTTAGTCTGAGGTATTATTTATTACTAAACGTTAAAATCTAGTGTTTCACCCAATCATTTCTCAGAGAGGTAGGGGCCAGTGAGCTGGGAAGAGGGGGGGGGGATAAGAGTCTATTATTTGAATGGACATTAACCTGGCGACTGTATTTCTCTTAAATATTAATTGTGTGAGCATACCATCATAAAATTTAGTTGTTATTTTTACTACAACATAGGTATTGTGTCGGAAAAAGCGGAGTTTGGGGGTCGGGCCAGTCTCTATTGGAATTAATCCCATATGTTCTGTTGTTCCATTTACGCGGATTTCACTTAACGCGGTACCCTGTGGGTTCAATTGACCGCGCAAATCGGGGTACTACTGTATCTGTAAATCTTCATTTATGTCAGATATTTGTAGATTTAAAAATAAATATTGCAGGTATGGCATTAATATATAGTGATGCTTGTAAGAGTTCAGAAATGGCTTCTGCTTAGCTCTAAAGAGTTGGGTGTCTACCATACAGATGTTAATTGTGTCGGGTTATCATCATCAATATAGTACTGTAGTTATAAATCCAGCTTTTAGATTTACACTCATTATTTTTTAATTAAAAAATAATAATGTGTTTAGGTAAGTAATAACATATTATTAATTCTGGAGTTTGGTTAGGTAGAATTTAGCCTACTGGAGACAGCAACTGGGGGATTCATTAACTTATGGGAGACTATAACTTCACATATAGGATACAGGGTGATTTTTATTTATTTTTTTTTTCAGACAAATAAGTGCGTCTTATATGCCGTAAAATGCAGTATGTACTTATTTTTAAGTTTCTTATGGGGAAAATTTATTCACTTAATGGTGTTTCACATAATGTCGCAGTTTACAAGAATGTTACCAAGATGTTGATCGGAGGACATACTGTAGCTGGAATCATCATCTTCAAAGTTTTTACTGCCATTTTTCCACGCTCATATGGGTTAGTCATGATTACCTGATGGTAGTTATCCATATTGAGTGGTGTCTTACTGCTTTTATCATCAGATTTTTATCTCTAAGGCCATTTCTTACATCCTCATTCTTCTTATTTTTGGTCTACCCATAGTTTTTTCGCCTCCATGTTCACACTCATGCGTCTCTTGACCCAGTTGGTTTCCTCCATTCCCTCCACAGGCCAAAACCATCTCAGTCTACATTTAGCAAGATTTCACCATGTTCTCATTACTCAGCCTTAGACTTGAACAGGGTTTCCTATCCTTGAATGTCACATTGCACATTCACCTTGTTATTCTCATTTCAGCTCACTCAGGCTTGTGTATGTCAGCAATTTGTGCTTATGTCAAAATATAGAAAGAAAGACTACTTAACAGATAATAAATTTCTTCCATAATTTTTCAGAAGGTACAAGCTTTAAAGACAAGAAAGCTAAGGAACAAAAAGCCACTGCTGGATCGTGGCACAACTGGAACACATTGTTCATGGGTAGCAGTGTTGTTGTGGATGTCATGGCTGAGAAATACAGCAAATCTAAACAAGAGGTACGTAACTAACCAATGTTCTGGATACTTTTTGAAACCCAAGTGTGTATTAATGCATTTGCACTTTTTCATAATAAAGTTTTTTTTTCTCTGGCAGGTTTATAATATAACATGACCAGGTAGTCTGCTTTGTATTATAAAATCCCAAGCAGCAAAAAAAATTTTTACTGCTGTTTTTCGTTTATGATCTTTATCCCGTGAGCCACCTCATGACCTTTGGTGAAAGCCTTCGGTGCTGCCTCATTTGATGTTTTTGATTTGGTGATAAAATTTAAAAATATATTCGCCAATATGCTTGACACATATTGCCTAGAGCAGGGGTGTCAAACATGCGGCCCAACACACTCTTGCATGCGGCCCGCGGCCCATTTGCTGCTCCAGCCTTACCTTGAGGAGCTAAAACTAAATAGTGAGTGTATCCCTCAGCTGAATAAAATAGTCTGCTGTTTCCTAGAACAAAATACTCAATCAACATCACCAATGAAAGAACAATAAGACTAGTTGCAGAAAGAATTGGTGAATTATCAGAGAATATTAACAGTCAACAAAGTAAATCCTTTACTACATTTTCAGTTGTAATTGATGAAAGAACCGATGTAAGTGATGTAGCACAACTTGTAGATTTTATAAGTGGTGTGGATGAAAATATGCAGGTAACAGAAGAAGTTGTGAAACTAGTACCAATGAAAGAAACAACAAGAGGTGATGACATCTTTGTGGGTTTGGTAGGGGCACTGGATAAATTAGGTGTTGACTGGGCACAAACTGTGAGTCTGGCTACAGATGGAGCACCGCAAATGGTGGGTAGAAAAGCTGGTGTGGCCACAAAATTAAAGGAAAAACTAATAGCTGTGAACCCGAACCATCAAATTTATAATGTACATTGTGTTATACAGTGGTCCCTCGGTTAACGAGCATAATCCGTTCCAGCAGGTTGCTCGTTAACCAAAACCATTGTTTCAATGGGTTTTTGGGTAATTGGTTCCAGCTCACCGAAAATTGTCTAAATTCAACAAAAAAGGTAGAAAAGTACACTTACTTTGAGGTGTGTATGTAGAAGGCTCCTGGATGATGATGATGATGGGAATTAGAATGGGGGTGGAGGAGAAGGAAGAAGAGAAGGCACTGGGGTGGAAGAGAAGTCACCCCATGGCACCATTTCACCCATAAAATTTTAGTTCTCTTGGTGTATTTCAAGATTATTTTCTTTAAATCAACACTGCTCTGCATTATATATTGTCAATATGTAAAATATATTTCAAAATGACCAATAATTTGCTTGGAAACACAGAAAAAAAGCATTTAGTTGAAGAGAGTCTCAAGCAAGATGTTACCTCCACTGAAAACAGAGAGAGACTAACGCCTGTCTGGTGTGTTAACAGGCTGGATGGCACGCCAGAAACTAGTTTCTTTACCTTCAATTATGTTCAATAATTGTTAAAATGACTAAAAAAGTTAATATTAAACTTTTAAAATTATTGAATAGTATAAACTTCTTGATACAGGTTGACAACCCTTTATCCGAAATTCCGAAAACTGAAAAGCTCTGAAAATTGAAAGTTTTTTGTGAAGCAATTTTTTTTTTTTTTTTAAACAGGGATTAGCCCACCCAGGCATAGACCACTGACCCACATCGGAGCCTGGGGGGCAAAAATGTAATGGTAATAATAATTATAATAATACCTGTAATTATTCATAGTAAATGAAAATTTTAATTAAAAAATACACCAAAATAAAATAATAATGATAATAATACTGTATTAATAAAATAATAATAATAATAATAATAATAATAATAATAAAGAAATACAAGAATGAGAAAAAGTTAAAAGTGAGTAACATACCTATGAATTCTTACCTGTATTATTATTATTATTATTATAATTATTATTATATTTATGCCCCCCAGGCCACAATGTGGGTCATTGACTTGTGCCCGGATGGGCTAATACAAAAAAAAAAACTAACCATTCTGAAAACCGAAAAATTCCGAAATCCGAAATGCCTCTGGTCCCAAGGATTTCGGATAAGGGATTGTCAACCTGTAGTATAAACTTCTTGATATTTACTAAAATAGTAAGGAATTTAAGCCCTAAAACCGATTACTGTATTGGCGGACTAATACTACAGCTGGTGGACCGCCAAATGCAAGCGAAAACATGTTGAAGTCGGCTCGTAAAAAACTCGTTAACCGAAGTTAAGAATCTTATGGAAGGTAAATCGCTAACCGAAATCTCGTTAACCGAGGGACCACTGTGCATAAAGAAGTGTTGTGTAGTAAAACATTAAAGATGGATAATGTCATGGATGTTGTTATAAAGACAGTGAACTTCATACACGCGCGAGGTCTGAACCACAGACAGTTCAACTGCTTATTGGAGGAAAATGAGAACACACACGGACTGCCATATCACACTGATGTTTGCTGGTTAAGTCGGGGAGTCGTACTGAAGCGATTTTATGAATTGCGCAGTGAAATACAGATGTTTATGGAACAGAAAGGAAGGGATTTGCATGAACTGAAAGATAATGAATGGGTTCAAGATCTAACTTTCATGGTGGATATTACAGAACACTTAAATTACTTGAATACAAAGATGCAAGGACGCAATAAATTGGTGACAGAGTTTTATGACTGCATTCGTGCCTTTGAGATGAAACTTCAGCTTTTTGAACGGCAACTATCGGAGAGTGATCTTTCTCACTTTCCGACCTTGAAGTCCCTGTAAGGCACACCTGAGTTTCAGGCTGATATCAGCACAAAAAAGTACTGCATCAAGATTTCCAAATTAATGAATGAGTTCCAAGAAAGATTTGCTGACTTTACAAGACTTGAGAAGGATTTTTTTAATTTTTCGGGACCTATTCTCTGTTGGTGTTAATGAGGTACCAGAACATCTTCAGTTAGAATTAATTGAGCTCCAGTGTGATTCTGTGTTGAGGAACAAGTTTTCGAGTGTTGATGTTGGCACATTTTATCAATATTTTGGACCAAATTATCCCAGGATTAAATGTTTTACCTCAAAGATTATGTCAATGTTCGGAAGTACATATGTCTATGAACAACTCTTTTCTGTGATGAACTTGAACAAGTCTCGGCCTCGGTCTCAACTTACTGATGCGCACCTTAATTCAATACTGAAGGTTGCTACAGCTCAGTCGTTAGTGCCAAACTTTGATGCACTGGTCCATACCAAGAGGTGCCAATTATCAGGAAGCAGCAGTAGCAAACAAGAAGATTGATCAAGGTAAGTAAACACTTGATTTGTTTGTTTTTAAGGGTTTCTCAAAAGGGCAGACTAAATCCACCTTTCTTATTTTGTCGTACTACTCACCTAAGAGGTGATTGTGAAGTGCTCATAATTATGTTACTTGGCCCGCATACTGTGTACTCATATTAAACCTGGCCCGCCTTGGCAAATGAGTTTGACACCCCTGCTCTAGCATCTCCCGTTAACCACCAAGGTGACAAGGGGCCTGTATCTAGCCCTGAAAGGCGGTTCACTCTCATCCTCTGTCCTGAAACAGTGACTTTCCCTGAGGACCTCTACCTTCCCCGTGTTTTCTTCTTTCCTTGTGGTTATCAGTATATATATATATATATATATATATATATATATATATATATATATATATATATATATATATATATATATACAGGTTGTACCTCTCTAGTCCGGCATTCTGTGGTCCGGAAACTCCCGTGGTCCGGAACGATTTTAGTTTGTCCAATAGGTAGATAGGCAGCTTTTTTCTTTTTTTTTCTTTTTTTTATTTCTCTGAATTATTATTATTATTACAGGAGTATTAAATTTTTGCCCCTCAGGCCCCAATGTGGGTCAGTGACCTATGCCCGGGTGGGCTAATCCCCTTAAAAAAAAAAAAAGCCGCGGGAAATTAAGGTTTGTTTACATCCGGCAGTTCGGCTGTTCTCTCTCTCTCTCTCTGCTTGTCTATACAGAGTACAACATTTAACCCTTCAATATATATGAGCAGTAAATAAGTGTTGCTTTCATATTCTTATGTAGAGTAATGACGATATATTTTCACATGTGCGCACTTACATACGAGCAGTCTCACTTTTTTTTTTACCATTAATGGTTAGCTACTTATATTGTTCCATTTATTAACATTAAATAACATTACAGGTACTTCAAGCAACCATATTCATTTTTTACATTAATTTTACTACAGCTAAACTCAGGGTCTTATTTTCTTCAGTTTTATATGTAGAACCAATCAGTCACTGGTTTCGTAAGCTTTAACATAAACAATGCCGGCAGCCATCTCGTCTCCTCTAATATTCCACGTATTATTAATAAATTGTATTGTTAATTTTGCACACACGTACATTAATTCAATAAAAACAAATTTAGAAACATTAATTAAAATATATATGAACAGTAAATAAGTGTTGCTTTCATATTCTTATGTAAAGTAATGACGATATGTTTTCACGTGTGCGCATGCGCACTTACATATGCGATCTCTCTTTTTTCTTTACCATTATCGTTAGCTACTTCTATTGTTCCATTTATTAACATTAAATAACATTACTTAAAACAACCATATTAATTTTACTACAGCTACAACCAAGGTCTTATTTTCTTCAGTTTTATATGTAGAACCAGTCAGTCACTGGTTTTGTAATCAACGAAAACAATGCTGTCTCATTTCCTCATGTGTTTTAATATTCTACGTATTATTAATGAATTGTATTGCTCATTTTGCACACATAAACATTAATTCAATAAAAAAGACATTCAGTAATAAACAATAATGAATCTTTTGTACATAAGAGAAATGACGCTGTTTACACGATTATGCACGTCGTCTGCACGTTGGCGGGCCGTTCAAACCCGTCGAAATTCAAGTTTCCGCCGTCAAAATTTTTATTTATTTATTTTTTTGTGTGTTCCAATAAAATACGTTAAGAATTAAAAACTCGCGAAATTTGAGAAGCTACTATACGACATTTAACCCTTCAATATGTCTTCAAA